ATCCACTAACTTTTCCCCAGGCAGTGCTAACTGATAGTCACTGATCATTTGATAAGTTTGTTAAATATTATAACACAACTGAGAGTATTTCAAAGCCAGCCTAAACATGCCCAGCCCAGGGGAATGTAACTGTAATGTGCCCATTATGGGAGGCTGGGTGGCCAGAGGTGCCCCAGGGCCGAGGGCTGAGACTGGCTAGTGGAACCTCGACTTAAAGGAGCCTGGGTGGAAATGGAATGAATAATTATACACATATTGGACCTCCACACAAGGGGGGAAGGCTGATGCTCTTACAAGTGCCCATTGTGGACCAGCTTCCTACAATGCCACCTGTCTCCCATTTGTGTGTCCATTGCAAGGACTTACACTGTACATATCTTATACACTCATATCTCATTTGCATACAGTTAAAGTGTATTAAAAATAGTCTTATTAATTTCATGTGAATCACAAAAATGAAAGAAAAGAATGCGATATTATTCTGAAGATCCCTGAAGTAATTGCATTTCAATTGGAAAAACCCACAATTTGTACATAATCACTAAGAGATCCATCAGTCTTGTCCCCCAAGTTAAAGGTTTATAGCTGCCTTGTTAATGGTGGTGAAAAGGGAACACCACCTTCAAACATAGCAAAGTGTTATAGCCTTATACTATGGCACTTTATAAATAAACAACACCACTGGCTATTACCATGTCTACAATTGTGCTTTGGTAACACACAAAGTTACTACATCTGACACCTAACCATACAAATAAGATCACCTTACTCTTAAGCTTAAAATCATATGTATGGTTAATAGGAATTTATCTTATTCAACGTTGTCATGCACATGATTGCTCACATTTCCACTCACAAACACACACACACAAATGCACGCATGCAAGCGCGCGCACAAGCACACACACACACATGTACATTGATACATATGTAAGTATATATACATGCATGTGCATTCATACATGGAAATGTGCACACTTATGTAGACAATAGTGTTGTACAAAAGACATTTCTTCTGTGTTTATGCATCAGTATCCTAATCTCTCCTTATTTAAAACTGGATCAGACTTTTTACTTGCCTTTTTTTCATAATGAACTACAACTGTGTGATTATTCACCCAAATACAATAGAGAACACTGAGAAAAGAGGCCGACATGACCAATTATCTACTGATATCTGTGAAGAAGATCTGTGGAAGATGTTCGGAGATTAGCATGCCTGGCTGTGGCTGGCTCCTGAAAGCCATACCACTCAGCTGCTAATATCACAGTGTCTTTTGTCCCAGGAAGTCATAATACTTTGTTCAAATTAAGCACCAATACTTTCTTTTAGTTTGTGTTCAAGATTTGTATTTATACATTTTATAAGCAAATAATTATAGTTATAAAATAAGACTTGAGTTATAATCATCACTATAAAACTGAATTAATAAAAAAATGGCAATTGACCTATGATTAAAAAATGAATAGAACTCTATACTCTACACAAAGACTAAATCTGAATGACCAAAAA